ATTTTTTAAACAATATAAATTTGTTGTTTTCTTAGGGGTTACTCGTGGAAGTAGATCTCTATGGACAAGCATTTTGTCCGTTTTGTTCTATCTCGAACCGTTTGGGTGCCACACGGAAAAAAAAGGTCATCTATTTCAGCACAACGTTTGCTAGGACAACTAACGCGTTTGCTGTCAGTGTGACAAGCAAGGTGTTCGACTAGTACAACATTTGTATTTGTTGAATATGCGTAATCATTAGTTGTGAGAGACGAGAAAACTTGTGTTTTGTAGCTAAATGCCCCTGAGGTCGTGCGACTAAATTTTTGTATCTGCGTTGGCTGAGGCATGTTTTGTCCAGCAGCCAACAGCCACTACAAAATATGTATGCGGTGGGCCAACTAGAGATTAGCTCTACCAACTAATCCTCGACAGCTACCGCGGCTTACCAGAGTTTGCTTATGGTAGCTTACGTCTAGTACGGTCAAGCGAATTTTAGCATATTTGCTATCACAGCTAACGCATTGCTTGTCACCAGCTAACGCATTGCTTGTCACCAGCTAACATATTAGCTATCACAGCTAACGCATTGCTTGTCACCAGCTAACATATTAGCTATCACAGCTTACTTATTTTTTTCCGTGTAGCAGACGACAACAAGGTGTAAATTCCAAATGGTCTATTAAAATCTAAGAAGCAGGGCCGCCCTTCCGCCAAACGGGTTGGCAGCTCCGCTTTGCTCCGCCGGCAACTCCGTTCGGCAGGGGCCGGGCCTGCTTGGTCGGGCCGGACCGCAGGCCCGACCTTTTCCTGAAGAACATAATCGAATGATTAAACGGGCGTTCGGACCGCTAAAACGATACGATCTGAGATGACTGCAGTCACGGACACTATCGCGGACAGCAAATTTCATAGGACTTTCCTTTAACCATCCTGGACACCTTAACGGTCAATCCTTGTGTACAGGTTTGCGGACAATTGCGGACAGAGCCATTGATAGGGTTTTGGATGACTGCGGACAGCTGCGGACAAGTCCGCGGACGTTTCAATCCGCGGACTGGGGCTACGGACATATCATGGACATGCGAGTGGACATGCCCTCCAGTTGTCCTCAACTAGTCCTTAGCCCCAGTCCGTGAGCTGTCCGTCGGCTCATCAGGGATGGTCTACTAAGTTGTAAAAAACCCCTTTATTGAAAAATTGTCCAGGAAGTAATATTTAGAAAAACACACTTGACGCCGAACCACACCCTCGTTTGGGTTCAAGGGTCCCTAGATTATTTTGCATCACTAAAACGTTGATTTTTACAGAACAATCTGTCAAAATTTCGAACTTGTAATAAAAACCTTTATTGAACAGTAGAAGGTTCATTTCCCCAATTTTAGAGTAATAAGTCCCCGACAAATGCTTTGAGTATGTCAAATTTTGGGGCAGGAGAGCCCTGTTTCCGAATACTCTTCTTCCATTAACTTGTCTCAGGTTCGGGTGTCAGCGCCGCAGGCCTAGCTATATGTGTGCCAGGCGCGTCGCAGCGTAACAGTGTTTCGTGAGATATCGCGAAGCCTGTTACGCGAGACGTGGTCTGGCATACATGTAACTAGTTATTCTTTAGCAAAGCAGAAGGGTGGGGGGGAGACGGACAACTCGCCCCATCCAAGTCGCCCCAAGGCTAACTCGCCCCGATTTTGGGGTTGGGGCAAGTCGCAGACTTGTGCCATCTCGTAAGTCACGGTGTTGACCCGTTTCAGTCTTTTTCCATGTCCAAAAGCAGGAGCAAATCTGCAGGGTCGTAGCCCGCCACCCTTCCCCCACAACCTTACTTGTCTCAAATAAGCAAAGTGACTTATAGGATGGACCGCAGGCCTGACCAAACGCTGCCGGCAGGTCAAGCTAGGACCGGCACCGGCCCCTGCCGAACGGAGTTGCCTGGGGAGTGAAGTGAAGCTGTCAACTATGTTTTGTGGAAGGGCGGGCCTAGCTTGTTTCAGTATAGTATCCCCTAACGTGTGGTCATCAGAAACCTAAGGCTGGGTCGTTCCCAGATTTGGTTAGTCGTTTAACATACTAAATATTAGCGTGTTAGGTAAAATTGTTGCAGCAGTATGTTAATCCTCTTAACATGAGTATGTGAGTAAATAATTTTTGAATACTATGCTTACTCTCTTAACATTAGTATGTTCTTAAGAATTTTCAACTTGAGTATCGTAATAGTTTATTAACATACTAAAACCCAGAATGCCGCTTTCTGGTTGTATGTAAACTATGTAGACATTTGAGACTCGAACGCCAAGGGAATGTTATAAATATTTCTTATATTCGGTGGAACGTTTCTATATAAGTATATACAGTACTACTGTATTAGAATTGATAAAAACGTATTCATACGTCTGTCTTTCGTTTTACCTAATATATAATAATCATTTATGAAATTCCCGTTTCATTGTTTTAACAGTTTTTACCTCTTATAATTTTTTTTTTATAAAACTACAGCTACTACTCCTACAGCATGTGTTACGTTACCATGATGCTTTCTCCGAGCATAATGAACCGGGCGTACGGCACGATCCACCACGGGCAGTACATGCGATGGATCACCCGCTGCAGTAGCGGCTCGAGAGGCAAAACCGTTTGCACAATGACAATTGGACCGATGCTTGTCTGAACGTTTAGGACAACGTAAGCCGGGCCAATCTGGGAAAGAATTACAATCACAACCTTGTCGACAATTTACTCAATAAATCAGTGTCTTGGCTACTGATGTCCGCACCTGATCGCCACGCACAAGTATCTTAAAGAGGCTCACTTTACTAGACAGTGCTATCTCGTGGTTGAGCCCCAAATGGGCGATGTGGGTCTGAGTTTGGTCCGGGAACCACTCGGCCTTCCATACGTGGCGCGACAAGCTAGCCACGAACATGCCTGGAGCGTGGATGGCCTCCAAGTGTGGAGGGTCAGCCGCATTCTCAGGAATATCCTAGTGTACAAACAAAACAACTTGTAACATAAAGCGTAAAGATCAAGCGTAACACAGGCATGCCCCATGTGATTGGGTTTACTTGGATATGGCTGGTGACGTTGAACTCGTTGCGCCCAACGTACGTCCACGACTTGTCCTCAATAACGGCAATGGGTTCCACGACCCAGCTGGGCGGGTCGCCCTCCGCGTGGTGCCAAACAAACACAGAGCCGTTTACCTCCCGGCTGTCCCAGCGGCGGACCTTCGCAAAGTCTGGAACTGCAAGCGGAGCGCTGAGCTCTCGGGGCCGAGCTTACATGCCTAACGTAACGATACCACCAAGTTGTTCTCCGCTTTGCTCTTATTTAATAGGAAGCAAACCTAAACCAACAAACCTAATTTTATACATAAAATCAGGAATGGCACTGGCAATGCATCGTTGCTCTCCTCTATCGATCTGCGCAACGCTTTGGCATGGGTCCTAGTCCTAGGCTCATTTCTGAGTAAGTCCGATGTCCTATGGATGTTTTTTAACGAAAAGTGCAATACCACGTGTAACACATTACCATCGCGGTATCAAAAATTAGAACGAAGCAAACCGTGTTCCAATTCTACTTGAACTTCAGGTCGGCCCTGAGGACTAACACAAACGCCAAACGGAAAGCGAAAAATTTTCTCGAGCGTGGAGTCTAACCATCGACTTCCGACGCTCTGGGCGTTGCTATACCAGAGGCCTGTGCCGAGCGAGCTACGCGAGCAACGCTCCGGCGGCCTGTTTGCCACGAGCTCGGCGAGCTAGCGCGAGAGCACAGGTTGACTGCGCAGCCGAACGATCTGTCAGCAGCCCGGTGGTCTCCGTCGGCCGAACTTGTCATGAGATCGAGGACCAAGCTTCGATCCCTGTCGAGGCAGTTTTTTTCTGTGGTCAAACTTAACTAAATTTTACAAACTATTACATTTAACACTCTTCATTGTATTAACGGTATTATTTCTGGGGTGTTGTACTCGGAAAGCCGATAAAAGTGAACGCCTCTGGCGGGGATCGAAGACGCGCCGCCTCAACGCTGAGCCGAGCCTGCCGCCTTGCTCGAGGGCAGATGAGCTCGCACAGCTCGCGAGCGACGATCGGCGAGCTCCGGAGAGCTAAGTCGGCCGGCGGCCGCCAACTTCGGGGCTAGCTCGCGTAGCTCGCTCGGCACAGGCCTCTGTGCTATACCGACCGGGCCATGAAGGCAAGATATAGGCTGTCGCTCTAGGGGACAAGCTATTCTACCCCGTCGCTGAAGGGGAAGAAATTTCTGTGGAAGAAACATATACCTATTTGTTCTTTTTGAAGTGCGAGGAACAAGGAACAACATATCAAAAAGAGGCGGTGACTATTTTGGTTCCTTTAGTGAGAGGTCATTGAGACATTTCCTGAAGGTTTTTAACAGTGTCCGGTGCTTTCGGCTTGTCAGGGATTATCTGCAGAGCAGGGACTTAGCTTCTGCTTACACCATGGGGCGTCGGACTTTATTGTCCGTAAAAAGATCTTAGTCAGGCGGACTAAGATTGTAGCGGACGGATTTTTAGTGGTACTGGCCGGGACGTTGCCATAAGGTTAAAAATGCCATTTTCTTCTCGTTTGGGTTTCCGAAAGGCACTTAAAGAATCCACCTGCATAGCTGCGTCTACAAAGTATTCGTCCTATACACTGCAGGCCAAAAACAATGTACTTACTTTGTACACGCAAGAAAACACTGTTAGAAAATTCAGGTTGAAATTTCAGTTTTTAATACTGTAATTCCTATCACTTTTTGGTTGTGAAATTTCATTACTTAAAACGGTAATAAAATTTCAGGACAACAAGTTTTGAAATTTAAGATTTGCGTAATGAAAAATCGAAAGTTAGTAATGGAATATAAGTACGATAATGTTTGCATAATTCAGGACCTGCACTGAAATTTCATTATCTGTGTAATGAAATTCCCAGTGAAACAAAATATTTTGTCATCGTTGGTATCCTTGTGATTGTGTTTCGGGAGCACTTCCACCATTACCAAATAGGTGTAAGCTTAAACTAGCTATATGTACGCCAGACCACGTCTCGCGTAACAGGCTTCGCGATATCTCACGAAACACTGTTACGCTGCGACGCGCCTGGCGCACATATAGCTAGGCCTGCGGCGCTGACACCCGAGACGAGTTAAGGACAGGGTGTGGGGGGACAGGGCCTTCCAGGCCCTAAATTTGACATACTCGAACCATTTGTCGGGGTCTTATTACTCTAAAATTAGGAACATGAAACGTCTGCTGTTTGGTAACGGTTTTCATTAAAAGTTCGAATTTGGACACATTGTTATGTAAAAATCAACGTTTTAGTGATACTAGATAATCTATGGACCCTTAATCCCAAACGAGGGTGTGGTGCGACCCGCAATGTGTGGTGAAAGTATTACTCTCTTTATAATTCTGTGACATGAAGCCTTTTATACGATATAACAGACCATTTTGTCTTTTTCACGTTATTTTCGCCAAGAAATACCCTATAGCGCCGAAACGGTACAAGATAGAGCAAAACGGACGAAATGTTCGCCCATAGGGCTCTACTTTTACGAGTTACCCCTTAGGAGCCCATAAAAAAATATTTGAAAGAAAGAAATATTTTGCAACCTGCGGTTTTTGATTTTTTAAAAAGTCAATTTTTGAGCTAGAATGCTCATCTTCGAACTCGATCTGTCTTTTTAGCCCGCCCTTCTGCTTTCAAACAAGCATTAAAGCGGGCTTATGCAACCGCTCTCGTGTCTGTCTGTCCGTCTGTCCGTCTGTCGTCCGTGTAAGAGGAAGGAGATGAGCTAGAGGTCTACAAATTTCAGGGTATCTTAGGGGTCACTCCTGGACAACGAAACGCCTGGTGCAAATCCTGGCAACCACCCCTAAGGGGGTGAAAGGGGGTAACAAAGAAATAGGGGTTGGTCCAAAAAGTAGGAAAAAAATATTTTTTTTATGGTCTCCTAAGGGGTAACTCTTGAAAGTAGAGCCCTCTGGGCGAAAATTTTGTCCGTTTCGACGTCAAATATGCAAAGTGATTTACCGGTCACATTATTTATTTGATTATGCACTTCAGTAAATCGCGAGACTGAAATGGTCGGGCCGAAGGCCCGACCATCGCCGCCGGCAGGCCAATCAGGCCCGGCCCCTGCCGAACGGAGTTGCCGGCGCAGCGTAGTGGAGCTGGCAACTCCGTTTGGCGGAAGGGCGGGCCTGCTTGTTATGATACAAAACGACCCTGAAATTCCCAGACCGCTCTCTCAATTCTTTCTCGAGTTATCGTGCGGACAGACAGACAGACAAACAAACAGACAGACAAACAGAATGAAACTTTTCCGGTCAGTGAAGTTATGGGCTTCGCTAATCGCTCAGCCAACAAATTGAATGCGTCTCACACTTTTACAAGTACAATCATGAGGCGCTGGGCACAGGAGGGTGCGTGTGCTCGCGTTATGAGTGCTCAGCGAGAGCCAATTAAAAACTCATGCAAAATATTGAATATTGACAAAAAATGAAAAACAAATGTGCGGGTACATCGGGGAGAGGCTCCTCTATCAGACTATCAATAGTTCGGATAGGAAATTTAAGAAATTTAATAGATATTTGACACGTAAAAAAAAATTGTCAGTTACCCGAACGATGCGCCATCTAGTGGCAAATAGTGGAAGTGCGCTTGACCGCGACAGTATCGGTGCAGGGTAATCGTTGTTGCGAAAATAACCACGCTTTTCCGCTGGCGATAATATTTATCTTCTTGATTTTCTATGATACCAGAGGCCACAAAGATGTACATAACTTAATAAATGCGCTATTCGAATTTTATCATACCAAAACAATTCTGAATTTTCAGTTCAAACATGAAACTTCAGTTAATTTTGGTTTTAAAATTTCAAAACATTTTTAACAGTGAAGGGATTGTTAAATTAGCTTAAATTGTGGATAATATTTTAAATCAGACGCCCACGGCTAGTAGGCTCAGCGTGAAAAGGAAGGAAATGTACTTTGCGAAATCTGTAAAATATAGAATGCTGCTTTCCATGCAACCGTGGATGCAAGCAAAGAGAAAGAGGTGGTGTTTTTTGGCTGAGCGATTAGCGAAGCCTATTACTCCACTGACCAGAAAAGTTTCATTCTGTTTGTCTGTTTGTTTCACTACAAGTAAAAGAGCAACCTTTTGCGCTCCCAGGAGAGCGATCTCAGTGAAGCCAATTTGACGACTCTTGGGAGAGCGATATTAATAAAGCATTCCGGTAAAGCTAAAATGCCGTAAAATGCTGAAGAATGCAAGGAAGAAGAAAACGGAAATAACTATGCTTTACCATGGGACTTCCGTTTTCTTGTTCCCCGCATTCTTCTGCATTTCAGCTTTACCGGAATGCTTTATTACATCGCTCCTTCGCAATAACTTTTCGCGACATTTTTGGTTACAAATAAGACTAATTTTGAGTCATTTTCGCAAACGTCGCTCGTTTAGGGTCGTTTCTGCGACATTTTCTGTTACGAAAAAGACTCATGTTGAGTCGTTTCGCAAAAATCGCTCTAACAGAGCGATGACGCCTATACGTCACTCTATTCGGGAAAGAAAGGTCACTCCTCGTTTTACAGTGTTGTTTGTTTCTCCGCCTGTCCGCACGATAACTCGAGAAAAAATTTAGAGAGCGATCTGGGAATTTCAGGGTCGTTTTGTATCATAAAAAAAAAAAGATCGAGTTCGCAGATGAGAACTCTAGCTCAAAAATTGACTTTAAAAAAATTCAATAACCGCAGGTAACAAAATATTTTTTTATCAAATATTTTTAATGGTCTCCTATAGGGGAACTCGTGAATGTAGAATTCCTAGGGTGAAAATTTCGTCCGTTTTGCTCTACCTTGTATCGTTTAGGTGCTAGAGGGCATTTCTTGGCGAAAACAGGATGAAAAAGACCAAATGGTCTATTAAATCATAATAAAGACTTCATGTCACAAAATTGTTAGAAGAGTAATACTTAAACCACGCATTAGGGGTCGAACCACCCTCTGTTCTAGGCTTAGGGATCCTTAGATTATTTAGTATCACTAAAACGTTGATATTTAAATAACAATCTGTCAAAATTAGAACTTTTAATGAAAACCTTTATCGAACAGCAGAAGTTTCATGTCCCTAATTTTAGAGTGATAATTCCCCGTCAAATGCTGTCAGTATGTCAAATGTTGGTGCCGGAAGGCCCTGTTCCCCTATACCCCTGTTGTGCTGATTGAGGACACATTGAGACACAAAGTGAGGTGGTCCAATCACCGCGCAGCATCCGACCACTTATTGACGGTAAGGATATTCTAGAGTAGAGGAATCATCTGCACGTCTACTGGAAATGGCCGCGTTATACAATTAAACGAATGGTCCTTAATTGAAAATAGAAGAGGGCCTACTCTCAAAAAAGCGCATTCTGATACAAATCACCCTTTTTAGGCCCCCGATTGGGGGTGCTTGCTTGCGCCCGAAAGTTTATTATTCCTATTCTTGACGATGGCCTCATATGGGAGAGACAACCGTGAGAGAAGTTAGTGAAATTTGAATAAAAAATACTAGAGAAAATTAGAAATGTCTTGAGATATGATTCATATAATTTTGTGTGATCAAATTTGAGAAATTTGAGTTTGCATCCACGAGTTTCCATGGAAATGACGAGCTGAGCAGCAGGCCGAGTGGAGCCAGGGAAATTTCAGTCAATCACAAATTTGCGCGGGAAAGTTCTACCAATGGAATCGATCGCCTGTTGCTTTGTACAACCCTACCCAAAAATTATTTGGCCCTGGCGTCGATTCGGTGGTCACGTTTAAATAATGACTACTGGCCGACGTGTATAAAGGTGCAACACAGACGCCATTTGAACGCGGCCGCTGAGCGCCAGCCACGGCTCTGTTGGCTGGGACGGAAGTTCCGCCTTGAAATAAATTCCTTTGAAAAAGGGAGAAAAGTACAGTGATGCAGCCAACCTATAACTGAAAATAGATATTATGTTTTTACCTTATTTAAGATTATAAGTGTCAACATAATTTATACAATACGTCTAAATGTATACGTTTTTTATATATGGAAACATTGATCTAATCTGACGCTGTGTTAGTAATGCTTTGGAAAGTTCACGTTCCTTGTAGTGAATGTTATGGCGGTGTTCATTTGAGCAAGCTAGCTTGGCGAACGATCAGCATACTAAACTTTGAAATATTTCTGAAAAACAAATTGTTTAGAATTTTCAGTGGGCAGGAAGTTAACCGCCGTATATATGCAGATTTTTAGTCGATCATTAATAAATCTAATCAACATAAGTTTCCTAGATATTGGGCTGCAGTGTACAGCAAAATCAGTAGCCAGTGGAATGAATCGTTCTAGTATTACTATGCCAATGTTCAAATTAAAATCTAATTTACTTGTTTACTTGTAATCTTGTTTACAATTCAATATACCATTTTGTCTTCTTCACGTGTTTTTTTCACCAAGAAATGTCCCATAGCACCGAAACGGTACAAGATAGTATAAAACGGATAAAATTTTCGTTCAAAGGGCTCTACTTTCACGAGTTTCCCCTTAAAAACCACCCAGAAAAAAATATTTGAAAAAAAAATATTTTGCGACCTGTGGTTTTTGTTTTCTAAAAAAGTCAATTTTTGAGGTACAATGCTCATCTTCGTACCCGATCTGTCTTTTTATGATACAAAACGACCCTGAAATTCCCAGATCGCTCTCTCAATTCTTTCTTGAGTAATCGTGAGGACAGACAGACAAACAAAGAGAGAAACAAACAGAAAAACAAACAGAATGAAACTTTTCCGGTCAATGGAGTAGGGGAGAGCGGGGCAGTTTGAGGAACGTTTCGTTTTTTGGCTCTAAAAACTGAACTATTTGTCGCACAGACCTGACGTTTTGACACAAAAAAGGTGGCACTGGCATGTATCAACCCTTTAAAGCGCGTTGCAATGCGGTGTCTTTGTGAGGAGATATAGCCAGTTCCTCATACTACCCCGCATTCCTCAAACTACCCCATGTGCGGGGCAGTATGAGGAACGCCGTGGGGCAGTTTGAGGAATGGCCTTTTGCTCTTCGTCAATGAATCGCATGGTATCGTGCTTTACAGCGTCAAGGCATTGCCTCCTTCCCTTCACTGAGTCAAAATTGCACATCTGTACCTCAAATAGTTTCGTTTTTAGAGCCAAAAAACTAAACGTTCCTTAATCCTACTAAAATATGGCCTTCCAGCGGGGCAATCCTATCGGCCACACGCTATAGCATGGGCTGGCCTATCCTCAATTTACCCCGTGCAGGTCTTCCTCAAACTACCCCGTTCTGCATTGATTCATTCAAATAATCCCTAAAAAATTACGGGGCGTTGTATCATACCGTCCGGCACGGCAAAATAAGCAGGAAGCATGTCTTCTCTTACACAAAAGGCCCCAAATTACATAATATATAAGGTGATAAAACTCCCGTTTTGGCTGCCAACTTGTCTATTTTGACATTCGTAGTTTAAAAAACGCACCAGTTTACTCGCAGCTTTTACGTATGAACGTTTTTGAATGAAAGTACACTAGGAAAATTTAGTACTCAACCTACGGCGGTGTCAGTGCCCGCAATCAAAATTTGTAGGCAGTTCCTCAAACTGCCCCGTTCCTCAATATGCCCCACTCTCCCCTAATCGGCTTCGCTAATCGCTCAGCCAAAAAGAACAAAATGCACAAGGCTATAAGTGGTTCTGAAATCTGACGTACCTTCTTTAAGGTGAACAAACCTTAACCAAATCTCTGTCAAAAATCAATTAGTGCTAATATAATTACCTTTCTGCGCATAGGGTATCGCCACACACTTGCCGTTGTGCCCACTAAATTGCCACTCGTGAAAAGGGCACTCGAGGCAGTCCCCCTTGACGCGGCCTCCCACAGCCATGTTGGCCCCCATGTGCGGACAGTATGCGTCCAGAACGTGGGCCTCGCCGCTCTCGGAACGGAAGACGGCCAGGTTTTGGCCGAGGGCATTGACAAGCTAGAGACAGTTTCATTCATACATGAAGAAGTGTATGGAAGTGCGGACACGCGACGCCAGGAAAAGGACCTACAGCTTATTAGTACTTACCCTGACCTCTCCAGGACCCAGGCGACAGGATTCAATAATCCCAAACCAGCCGTTGGGGTACACTGGTAGCAGCCGACCTGTCTTCCGCTTCCGTATCGCGTCTCGCACCATGGCAGCGCGTGTCTTGCCGTCCAAGTGGCGGTTAGGGAAATCATAGCCCACGCCGTCTATGTCCTAGTGGAGATAGATTATCAGACTAACTGTCAGGAAATACACTCGAAATGGCAAACGACAAGTTTTTCATTGCAAGATCCTTTTAAGCGCACACCTGGCAAGATGCAATTTTGAAAAACGAGTAATGACAAATTTGTATCTCCGGATAGACAATTTTTTTACTTTGTCAAACTGGCAATACAAATTACAAAATAGAAGCTTACACACCGAACACAAATTCCCTGGACCGTTCCAGCAAGAGGCAAAGTTGTTCCCGAAGGATCGAGCAATGACGGTAAGGGCGAACTATAGCTCTTCCCAAAATCTAACTTTGATTTGTGTATTCTCTTTGTTCGATTTCTGCGACTTTAACACTTTTCAGCATTCACTTAAAGGAAACAATGCATTTTTTTAGCACAATCGAAAGGAACGTAAGTTTTGGGTCACTTGACCCTCAGTATCATGTCATAAAAACTCCACGAAAACATCGTCTGCAGCCTGTATGCCAAACCGTTCAGTAGTTAGAATTTTCTAACCCTTGTTTGTAGTTTTACTAAAACTTCTCTTGCGCATTTCATGAGTCGAAGAAAGTTCGTCTGAGGTTCCCAAAATTTTCAATAACGTTGCTCGAAACCCGTTGAAGCCAATTTCACAAGGGACAATTAGAACATTGGAAAACATTGCAGTGAGCAGGAAATAACGAAATATTTCGGTCTCAGATATTGATAACTTATTGTGAACTGCCTTTGATACGTATGGCAGAGGAGCAAGTAACAAACTAGTGGGGGTTGCTCAAAGGCCCAAAGTTGCATAATCGACCATTAATTAAAAACTGTTAGTCTGTCAAATAAAAGCCTTTTTAAGCACCCGCCGTGCCTCCATTTAAAAGCGTACGGTGAGGACAGAGGGCGGATTTTAGAACGCTTTCCAAATATGAAGCCGCCACTACGCAATCATGTACGGATTTGAACTTACCCTGGTGAAATCCATTGGCAAAACGAGATAGTAGTAAACAACGCAAATCAGGACAACGACTGCGATGGTCGATGCCCCAAAAAATCCTGGTACGACTGCAGTTAAAGGATCCATAGTCTCAACAAAACTAACGTGACGGTATCTATCAGTCAGCAACAGAGTAGCAAGCTGCGTGTTAGGCTGAATAAGGTGGGTATGTTCCGCCAGCAGGTGCAGAGCAACACTTAAAAGATGTCTCCCCCCTCTCCCTCTGTGACTCTCGACAGAAGAAAGAAAAAAAGAGTATACGATAGGCCTTAGCGTATAGTACAGCCCAAACCAGTGACGGAAAGGAAAAGAGGTAAGACGTTTAGGTAACCCGATTAGGTAATGCAGAAATGAAATAAAGAGAATGAAATTTTATTGATGACTAGTGAGGAAAGACACTACAAAATAGTCTATGCCAGAAAAAGAATTCCCTTCCCAAATGACAGAAGCGCGCTACAAGTGCAGAGCGAGTGCAAGCTGGATACGAGAGCAGATTGTGCGAGACGAGGGCACCAAAGCCGTTGGAGCATCGCAGAATGGTAAAATCTGCATCCCTCCAGGAGAACTTCGGTGAACTTCCTTAGCAACAGTTCTACAAAAATAGGAGAATATTCCTAATTCTCAAAAATATTTTCTCAAAATAAAAGGATCTTTTTCTCAAACAATCATTTTTTTATACCGTTAGGTGCGCAGCACGTGCAGAGCGACAGCGCAGCGAGTGTGGGACGAGAGACTGCGGGATCACGTTGAGTGCGGCCCCGCCCCTGGCCCCGCCCGGCCCCGCCTGGCCCCGCCTGGCCCCGCCCCTACACACAAACTAATCGCTGTAAATCAGTTTGAATACGACTAGGTACACTGCTTGTAATGAAAAGCGAAAATTGTTGGCTGAGCGATTAGCGAAGCCTATTACTCCGTCCGGTCAGAAGAAACTTTTTCTGTCTGTCCGCACAATGACTCGAGAGCGAAGTGAACCTG